AGATTGCCTTTCAAATAAACTATCTGCACTCAAACCTTTATGTGCTTAAATTAGTCCTCAATCTTAATACAGTCTTCTTACCTGAAAATTCTTGGGTTCCTGAAATTCTGCACTGAGATCTGTTCATAGTACTCCAGCCATGAAATCACCCAAAGATAGAATTACATTGTCTGTTTCACTTTTGCTAGTTTTCAAAAAATTGGTGGAGCCATCATTTCATTATTTTCCCAAGACATCAGCAACACATCTATGTGATGGTTTTAGGCACCATCTGAAGTGACTCCCAGTTACCTTACCTGTTATAACTGACTGCTCAGAACCCACCATCCTGTAAGTACAATTTAGATTTGTTTTTCCACAAGTGCATGACTTTATACTTTTTCACAAAGAAATATTACCGGCTACTTCTGGACAATACACATAGTATAAACAAGATTTTTTAAAAAATCAATTTGAAAAGAGAGATACAGAATAGAAAAATAATCTTCCCATGAAAATTTTTCATTCTCCTCTTTCCAAAGGTAAGAAATTTAAGAAGCATAAACACTATTTTCAGAAGTCTAATATTTTGAACATTGAGAAGGCCATAAGATTGAGCCAAAATAGTAACAACAGAGTTAGCCCATGGATACATCAAACTCGTAAAACCCCTTCATCTGTATTTACCTGTTTAGAAACCACCTTATCCTTCAGCCCAGGGTGAAACCTTCAGAAACACTATTAATCTTCCCTATTCTCTTAGCTCCCACTTCCAGTCAGTCCATCAATTCAACCTCCCTAAAGTGTCTTAAAACCATCTCTTCTTCATTCCCATTACTCTTATCCCAGTTTGTCTTTCCTATGACAATCATCTATCTAAGTTCTCTGTTTTATTTCATGTCTTTATTCTGGAAAATCTAATAACCTAACACACTCGCATTAAATCTAAGATCATTCAAACATAATAGCTCAAGTCCTAAACAACACTTTCAGCATTTATATAAAACATATGGATATTGATATTACATTTAGAAAACTCATTGCCTTAACATTTCATGTATTTTTATTTGCATGGAATGAAGGTTAAAAATAATATGTTTACCTAAATATTAAGCAAAATGTTTACCTGTCTGAAGCTATGTCACTGGCAATTTGGTGCTTCACTCCTGACCCATTTTTAATAGAATCCTGTCTTGTGAGCCCATGAGATCGACTTTTCTCCACTGCAGGTACAGATAAGTCACCTGAGGGTCCTTGGAACTGGGCCTGCTCATGCAGTTTTGCTTTCTTCTCCTGAGGTGCCTCCTCATTCCGCATTCCTCGGAGAACCTTTTGATCAGGTTGCTGTGGTGTATTAGATCCACTATTATAAAACCACGCTCCTGATTTAGTGAGGATTTCTTGTTGTTTTCGGCACAAATTACATACCCACATAACCTGCACACGAATACATAGGGGAAAAAAATTAGTGTTTTCAAAAGTTAAAAACAAACAAAAAGAGAGACAACAATTCAAGCCAAGGAAAAAAATTATATTGTTATCCTTTCTGAAGTTAAAATGTAATCCAGATTCATAGCTACCATTAATCAATTACATATTCTCCCTTTTAATTTTGTCAGAATTATAGTAAAATAGATGACATTTACTGGTAGTAGAAACATCAAATAGCGTGTCAAATTATTAGTTGTTTATTTATATTCTTTAATTACTTTTTAATTAATTAAGGGCACAGCGTAGTATACAGAAATGAATTTTGAAGCTAGACAGATTTGGGTTTAAATACCAACTCCAAGATTAGAAACTTTTCAACCTTCAATAAGGTACCAAACATTCACATCTATAAAACTTAGGTTCTGAAATGATGAAATGAGGAAATAGGAATAATACTAATTTTTCCAATATCAAGGACTGAAGATTAGAAATAATTTACTTGAAATGTCTAGCACAATAAATCACACATGTTGGACTTTCAGTAGCTTACTAATATTAGTATATTAGGTTAATCTTCTATCACCAGTTATATGATAAGCTTCCTCAGGGGGCTTTTCTTTCTTTTAAGTAAGTAGCTCCTACTGGCTAAAAGAAAGCTAGGAACCTCGTTGATCCTCAATAAAAACCTATTAATTGCTCATAATTCATAAAATAAATAAAATGTACCATTTTAACCACTTTTAAGTGCACAGTTCAACAGTGTTAAATATATTCATACTGTTGTGAAATAGACCTCCAAAACTTGTTCATCTTGCAAAACTCAAAATCTATACCTGTTAAACAGAAAATCCCATTTTCTCCCTCCCCCATATCCTGATAATCACCATTCCACACTTGATTTTTTAATAGATATGTTTTTAAGACTCCAGGAATTTAAGAATATTATAACTAACATCTCTATGACCAGAAAACCACACTCTTCTGAAAAATCTTTCTCAATTAATCAGAAAAAAAATAAAATCACATATTCATGAAATAAAGGATGAGTTCATACTTCAAGTGTTTCTGATGTTTTGTTTATGTCAAATGCTGAATCTTAACACAGCTCTCCATATTGCTGAACATTTCCTTATAGTTTTAAGTAAATTATAATAATATAGATAATCAGTAAAAGAAAAATTCAACATGTTTTTAACTAATACAAGGATATTTTGTAAAATACCATTTAAATGTTTTGCTTAATTGCCCATTCTTCTAGTCCATACTGTTTGTATAGTCTATATCATACAACATTGTATTTGATCATTTTCTATTATTTTGTTCTCTCTTTGAATTTTATATACATTTCTTTAATCCTCAACTAAATTTAAAGCTCATTGAGAGCAAGTTCTGTATCTTCTTATGTCTAATAAGCCCTTATAAATCATAGCACAGTAAGACTTTTTAAATGCTTGCTAACTTGAATTTATCTGAAGACCTTCTGGGGGATACATGATAATAAAATATTCAGTATTATTACATTAAGATTTATGTTCTACAGATTTCCAAAAGAATTAGTCATCAATAATGTTAATATACACAACTATTTTATTTTTATAACTAAATAAGAAACTATTTTTTAATATGAAAATACAAAAGTTTCACTCAATTTTTTTTAAAAACCTCAGTTCAAATTTCTTTTGGTTTAGCTACACATGAAATATAAATATATCTAACCCATCAGTAGTTTCAAAAATCAAATTTCAATCAAAATCTTCAGTCTTTCATTGCCATCTTGTGACAAATGTAGGTACTGCAGATCTCTTTTAAAAGTGAAAGGCACACTAAACATAAAACCACAAAATAATAATAAAATAAATTAAGTTTGAATTTCAACTTTTCTGTTTGTTTTAAATAAATTACTATTCGTGATACACTGATAATATATACTATATTATTCTGTGATATGAATTTATCTAGAGTAAGTCACACACGCAATATTCAAGAATAACATCCTTTCCTTCCCGGTAACTGACAAAGAAACAGAAATGAAAGTTTGCAAGACAGGCAATTATCCAATCATGATCATCTGCAGAAACAACCTGTTGCTGCTTCATTGTTTATCACAAGATAGGCAGGTTACTTAACTCTTCGAGAGCAGAGATTCTCAAAGAATATCCCTGAAACGGCAGCATCAGTATCATCTGGGAACTCATTAAACATGCAAATTCTTAGGCCCCTCTCCAGACCTACTAGATCAGAAATTTGGGGGTGGGACCCAGACGTTCGTTCGTTTTGTTTTTTGTTTTTGCAAAATCCTACAGGTGATTCTGATGCTTGATAAAGTTAGAGAACCACTGGTTAGGGCAGAGATTGCCAATTCAATATGTGGAATAAGTTACAAGTGTGTTCCTCAGAGTGGCTATATAAGGCCAACGGAGGTCATGATCAGCTTTGCCAATTTACCTCAGTGTGAACGAGGTAAATCTATGGTATTATTTGTGCAAATTTATGAATTTAAATTTATTCATTGTACAAATAGTACCTCAGTGTGAACGAGGTAAATCTATGGTATTATTTGTGCAAATTTATGAATTTAAATTTATTCATTGTACAAATAGTATCATTTCTGTGTAGTCCAAAATGAGAAAAAGACTTGAAAATGTCATGGGCTTCATTTTCCTCATCTATTAACACCCAGTGAATAGTAATATAAGATAGATGAGTATAACGCATGAAGGATGATGTTTGATTCCTATTAAAGAATTTCTATGTATTAATACTCTTTCCACACTCTCTGGGCTATGCACATTGGTTGCTCTTTTTCTGACTAGATCTTGTATTCCCTCCTAAACTGATAGCTTCTAATATCCTCACATCTTAGTATCTAGTTACCTTTCTTCTTTTTCTATCTCCTCCCACTTTTGGACTAATAGTTTACTAATCTTTACAGCTCAGGAAGCCTAAATCAACTCACTTCAAGTAGTTCAAGAGACTGACACTTTTGCTTGAAGCTCTTACACACATAGCAACTTAATTTATAAATTGATAATACTGTTTCACAAATACATATACATACACATGCTGTGAAATAACTTCTCACTAATTGGCTATGGAATGATTAATGTCTATCAGAGGTCAATTCTGTGTTAACGGAACAAAATTTAACTAATTTGGGAATAAAAAAGCAGGACTTTTGTTAATAGAACATTTTAACCAATTAAGTTAACCAGCTTATGATGAATGTTGTAAAAATATCTTAGAAATATATATGCCTATAAATTACCATGGTTAGAACCTATTAGCTTTTTCTGGTCCTCACAAATATCAAAATACCTAAGCCCTGAGATTACAAAGACACATAGGATTCAAAATGATATGATATTATTACATTTGGTTCTAAATATGACAAATATTTCAAAATAATATAGCAATATAAGAGATGGAATAGTAGTAACTCAAATTTGTCACTTAATTCCATAGTCATCCTTGGTGGAGTTGAAAGGGAGCAAAAAACTAAGGAAAATAAAAATCTCTCTTTAAAACAATAAAAATGGTAAATGTAATAGCTAAACTAAATAGTCAAAGAAAACAAAACCAAAATTATGTTAAGCATATACAATAATTTAAAGGGATATAAAGCTTGGAAAACCCTATGATTTTCATCCAAAGAAAAATAATAAATAGTAGAGTAATTCAGAGAAGGATAAGATTATTAGTTAATTATTGGTATTAATGAGACCATAGGCCAAGCTCATAAGATATAGCTAACTCAGCACGGAAAAAAGACTTTACTAGACTCTACTTCTAATCATTGCTAGCCTGCTTATTTGACAGAAAAAAAAGAGTGTAAATTGATCAAACTAACCAGGAAAATGTGGAAGATCCTGTCTAGCTACTAATCCATTTCCCCTTTGCGCAGAGAACACTCGCCCGAGGTGCTTGTGGCTACAGCATTTACCCCAAGATTACTCGTAGATTACAGGCCTCACCTTATCCCCAAAGTCTGCCACGAAATATCTCGCTTTTATTACTATTTTCCCATCACTCTGGTATACTGATAGGCTTTGGAAACAAATAACATCATTCTATTTACAGCATTCTATTTTTAGTAGTGGTATTTCCATTTACAAAATATAGTAATTCTTATTCACTGAAAATGTCAAATCCTAGAAAACGTAGCATTCCCACACGTTCTGTTAACATTGTTCTCGAACAGTTGTTAGCCGAAGATTCATTTGATGAATCCGATTTATGTATACATTTCTGTTACATTACGATTAGAGACAAATTCTATTTAGAAATAACTCCAAGAACAGTTTTTACATTTATTTTCACATTGAAAACCAGTCAGATTTCCTAGCCTCAAAGAGCATGTTTATGTAGAATTAAATTAACACTGGCAGCGAGCTGGACTTTTTTTTTTTCTAAATGGCAAATAGGTTAAACTTATTTCCTTTTTCTATTAGAAAACAATTCCCAATCTCCCTTGTCACTAATGATGGCCATGACCACATGACTATGTTCTGGCCAATGGATTATAAATGATGTGGGCCATTTTCGTGACCATTGAAAAACTCTCATATGCTACCATCATCCTCTTCGTTCAAAACTATAGGGGATAAGGGAGCCACACCAAAAAAGGAACCTGGAAATCTGAATAAGCACTTGAAAGAGAGCACTGATAAGCCATACTAGTGTGAGTTTAACATAGGTGAGAAATAAACTTCTAATATGTTGAGCTGCAGAGACTTTTGAGTGTATCATTGACAATTGATAGCATTTCTTTAATTCAAAATCTTTTTAAAGTACTTGGTCTATTAAATGTGTATCATCAGCACAATCTCTGAATGTGAGGAACAATGCATTACTAAAACTGACATATAAATGTGTTTCACTGTTAATCCAGAGCCAGCTTTCATTAAGTCATTAAGAACAAGTTGTGCACATTTCTTCCCAGTTCCTCATTCAATGAAGTAATGTGAGTTGCTTGAAAACAGCCATGGTGGATGTATTTAAACTACAGA